TTTAAATGATTTTCAGCAGATGATTCCTTGAGTAAAAGCATCGAGCTATTGGTGGGTGTTGACTATTTCTGTCTGGAAAACTGTTCCGTATCGATTCCAGAAGTAGTAGCGTCTTGAAATTTGTCTGACTGGTGCAGTAGCCTACACAAGGCCAGTTGAGATGAATTCCGTCGTTATTCCAACCAACTTTGTACTGTCTTACCGCCTCGAAGGGATTTGGTTCCCCGCATAACAAGCCTTTCCCGCACCCTCATCCCTTCTACGCCTCGATCATTCATGTCCTCGAAGATTGAATGGTTCTCGGAAATCAAGCTGTTTTCTGTACCTCATTTGATGATAAACTGTAATTTGATTCTGAAAGCTGCACAGCGTTTCCAGTCATTTTTTTTTNTTTTTTTTTAATCTCTGCACGAAGCTAATGTAGTGCCAGCTGAGTATTAACATTCACTCGACACCAAGTTCAATACCACCCAAGCCATCTTAATTTTCCTGTGGAGTCAGGGCCTTGCCGTGTACATAAGGGCTGTCCCATACCGATACATGATTGAAAAGAAGGTTGTAGGAGGAAAAAACTCGTCTTGTCTCTACTCTAGCGGTAAAAGCGGAAATCACCTCCCCACTGCTGCACCCTGTGTAGTCCCGGACTGTGAACTTCTTCTCAATGGTATGATTTGTACTTGATACTGAATGAACCCTCTGTATCCTGTTACACATAGGCTTCCACTATGAAATTTGGGATACTGAATGAGTAGAAGCTTTTGACCCGACATATTAGGGTTTCTGTCTTCGCCCAAGCCAACAATTTCGTTCTATTGGGGCTCGGATGTCTTAAGCATAGTAAACAGTCCGCGTCTTGCACTTCACTACCGGAGAATTTGCGAATAGAACTGAATATTTATTAATTGATAGGTTCTGATTGGGAGACTTGCGCATCCTTCGATTCATTGAGTTCACCATTTGATCAAGTTCTGATCTTTTACTGTTATTTTGAAAAATAATAGTATAAAGTCTTTGAAACAGTTAGTACCTTCTCTGGGATGCGCTCCGCATTCGACTTCCATTTAGAATCGTGGCGTTCTGAAAACTTACGTGACCAATAAGTGAATTGTGGTGGCCGGCTGATATACAAGTCACTGCTTTTATTCTCCCAGGCGAGACTAACACCACTTTACCGATCCTGAAAGGTTTTAATGCTTGCTTTCTGCCCCATTTCATAAATAGTCCGTTACAAGTATGCGTCATTGTTTTTCATCCGGTTAATGCACTCCTTACAACGTTGCTGTTCCCGAAATAACTGTAACTTTCAGATGTTTCTCGCCCTGGAATCAACCTTATTACTACTACTCAATAGTGTTATAAGGGCCGATGATTCCTGTAGGTCAGAATGTTATCAGGTATGAGCTGAGTTGGAAATATTCATCCATCGAGGTTGAGGCTTAACTCGTGTTTTTCAGGACCGAATGCCTCAGTGTGGTGTGTGGCTAATGAAGGAAACAAACCCGGACGTGGCTGGCACATATGAGGTTCGTGCGTAATTACTTGATGATGATTACATTGAATAGGCCATGAACTCATCTTTTAAGCCCTTTTGGAGGTACATCTGAATTCGTTCCACGTCTGTTCAACTCAGTGTTATTATACTTGCTATGCAATTACTAACTTAAGGGAAACTCCCCCACTAAGATGTGCCATGAAATGGAGAAAGAATCCAAACTAATCAAAGGAATTGGGGGAGCTCCAACACAGGTCAAAGAAGGGGATTTAGATAGTAATATTCCTAAGCTATAAAAGAGGTAATGTGAAAAACGGAGGGTGGAGAGATTTGATTATTGGTTCTGCAAACAGTGCGATAGTGTGATATGACGTCTTAACTACGACACCAGTATCTGAATGAAGGAAAGAAGCCTGGGTTGCGGATTCCCAGTCCCTGTTGGTTTCTTCATACACTTCGAAGCTGAAATCGGATTCTGACTGCGATGAAAGGCTTTCGGCTGGCTAGAGTGCTTGTTTGCCTTGGATTTTAACAGTCCTTCTACATACACCGCAACTTCTCCTTCCATATTACTGCTCATCAAGGTCTCCCCATTCAATTGCCTCTCTGCATTCGAAGACAAATGAGTGTATGGCGCAAACCACAACAAATTCTCAAACAATATTGTTTTAAGCTGGGTCATGGTCTTGTGAATATGTCTTGTGAGTTCTCGTCGTTACCAGAGCCGGCGGTGGTAACGTGGCTTCACAAGGCACCGAATTCTATCAGCTGGGTCGACTTTGCCTGCTCGAATAAGGATGAAACGAAACAGTGCAGGTAATTTGAGCTCTAACTACTCAACAAAGCGATGTAAATAAAACTGGATTACCAATGAGCAAAGGCTGGCTTATTAGGGAATAAGGAGTATGTGCATGGGTTATCGAATCCGGACGCGCGAATTGATCGCACGCCGCGCGCGGCAATCATTTCTTGTGACAGTTATCTGGGATACACAAAACACAGGACTTCAGGCCTCATTTCGTAGATGCGTGCTGACTGAGCCTTTACGCAGCTTTAGAAAAGTTTGGTCATCAGTAATTATTAACGATAAACGTCAACGATATCTCTTTCGAGGGAAACCGAGCATCGAGTCAGATCAAGATGTTTATTACGAACGAATTCGCTAACAATGACAGGTGCCTATAGATGTCAAGCCACCACTCCCGAGCAGAAAAACAAAGCGATCAGGTAAACAATTGCTACTTTATCACGCCCAATAAGAAAACAATCTCCTGGTTGAAGCGCTCCATGCCTGAGTAAAGCTTGAGCTTCTTTACAGCTCTGAGTTCAACATTAATGTGGTTGGAATTGAAAAAGTCGCAACAGTACACCATCATCTACCGTTTGGCCGTCTAGGCTACATAGAAGTAGAGGTAAGTATAGTCGAAACTGGTCACATTTGCTACTTTTTCTCACAGTGTTAGTACTGATAGGCACATCACTGTTGCTACTGTCATGAGTATATCACTGTCAATCGCTCCGAACTAAATCGATAGGCAGACATCGTGTGTGGCGCACTTGGTTAATTCACACTGTGACTTCCAGTTATTCTCTTCTTTTCTTAGGTGTGTGCGAATCCCAAGCCGGAGATCTTCTGGTTGATTCCCGATGCGATCATCACACCTCATGTAGGAGGAAGTTCACACGTTTCAGCCACGCATCTCCATCCGAAAAAGGTAATCGCTTTATTTATCATCTCGAATTATATTATTTCGGAAAGCCTCCGATCTGATTGTTGTGTCGAAGAGACCTAGAAAAAACAGAAAAGCAGTCGGAGTCTACTGGTTTCCCTAGGCTGAGCTTCCTGTACACACTTAAGGTAGATGATTTGAGGGCGAGAACCGATCCCTAACACCCATACCACACGTAAAAGCTAAAAGCTAGGGTCACAAGAAACTGCTTGAATCTATGCCAATTGGGCGAATTACGCTTCAGGTGAATTTATGTAATTCCTGCTCCAAATCCTGCTCTCAAGAACCTGGCTTATAGGCTGCGGTGGAATATTCATCTGGAATGTACATCCCACTCTGAGGACGCTCCGCCCATCGCTGGTCGCAACGCTGCTAAGTTCGCGAATACCCGTCCATCATAGACTTTAATCATTCGTACAATTTTTTGGACTCTACGCACTGTTGAAACCGAGTTGTGAAATTACCGCGCATAAGCCAAGTCCTTCTGATTTGTTTACCAGTTCCTGGCGTTATAGACTTTTGAAACCAAAATAGGAAGCTCTGTTCTGGGCACCACCCATTTCGATGCTTGTCCCGCCCACTGGGAGTCGAATAACGACTCATATGTGCACATATGTGGTCTTGCTGTAA